GCGAAAAAATGAAGGAAAAGTAAAATTAAACACAGAAAAAAGCTGTTGCTTGGGGGAGCTTGCGACAAGGCTGCCATACTCGGCACCATCTTGAGGTGTTCTTGTCAGTGCTCGGTCCTATCAGTTACGGCGTTTAGTCCGTTTACAGAAAGGACATGAAGCAGCTTGAAGTCAGGTGTAGATCCAAAAGTCACAATCAATGTGGACAAAATGAAAGAGAGTGATTTCAGGAGGCCCGGCAAAGATCACCACACAGACCTCACCACAAATGGTGCTGCTGTGGACAGGGTGAGTAGTGTTTAGTTCCTGGGTATACTTTTGTTAAACGTCTGAAAGTCTACTCTTCAGTCACATGCTGGATTCTTGGTTTCCTCTGTGATGATGTACAGAAGCAAAATGATAAAGTCCAAAATCTCTTACTGCTGATGTGAGACCAGCTGAGTCTCTGTTTCCTCCAACAGGCCAAAGAGCTGCAGATGCTCAACGACCTTCGCAAACTCTTCATCGATGACATCGGAGCTCGAATCAAGAATGTAAGAATAAAAAGTAGCTTTACTTTGAGATTCAGAGCAGCAGAGCTTTGATTCGTCACACAATTGCTGATGTCACTTCCTGCTTTGAATGCTGTTGCTGCTCCAGGTTTACAATAAGCTCATTTATCATTTTCCAGCTTATTTACATTCAAATTTAATAAAGTTTAAAGAGTACCATTGTGACATTGCATTTCCACTGATGTTAACCTAAGTGATCTGCCTCAGTCCATTTTGTGAGGAGTTTTAGGGATCAGTGTGTGTGTGTGTGTGTGTGTGTCCGTCCAGTGATAAAGTCTCATGTGTTATTGTCATGATCAGAGTTCAGAGAATGACAACGATGAGGCTGGTGGCAGTTTGGCTCAGAGACAGAGGATCGTCTTCTTAGAAAATAACTTGGAGCAGCTCAGCAGGGTCCACAAGCAGGTGAGTGATCTCACCTAGTCTCTAAGCCCTACCCACAGGGTCACCCTCAACTGGTGTCTCCCCCATTGGAAGTTTGTGTTTCAGTTTTTAAAACCAGGATCTTTAGTGTGGGTCTGTCATTGACAGGTCACTCTGTGATTGGATGTTTGCTGATGTTGTGTTTGTTGGCAATTATTTCTTTAAATATGACAGAGTACAGATCCTGCAGTGAAGCTTGTGTCTCCAGCTGTGATCCTCTGTGTGACCATGTGAATAAGAAGCAGTCTCTCAGGTATAATAGTGCATAAAAGCCTAAGAATTTAGACGTGTAGACAGTGTAGAAGCTTCCAGGTGAAGGGACACTAAGTCCTATGATAAGGTGGAGACTTAGGCAGTGATGGGAATAACGGCCTGTGATTACAAGTAACGCCGTTAATTTTTTCAGTAACGACTAATCTAACTAATTACTATTTCTATCGTAACGCAGTTACCGTTACTAACAAGAAAATGCGGTGGCGTTACTATTTTTCAACAAACAGACGGTTGAAGCTGTGTTCAGTTGACCACATCTTATATCAGTTGCATGGAAATAGCTGTAAGTAATGTGGGCGCTACAGCTTTCAGCAGCTCCGCACGTTCCCGCTGACAGCAATCACTTTCTGCCTGATGATCACTTTTTCTCACAACACCTGCAGCTTAGGGTGCAAAACAATCGCACGAGTGCTGCTGTTTGACTGAGGAAGAATAAAGTAGTCGTGGTAAGCCAATCACATGACCACTTAAAGACAAAGCAACAAGGTGACATATACCCAGAGGTGGGTCGAGTGTCCAAAAATTGTACTTAAGTAAGAGTAGCATTACTTTAAAATATTATTACTC